GAAAGTCAAGGGAGAAATGCTGGTGGAGCAGATAAAAAGTAAGGAAATTAATAGTGTGGATTGGTGGGTGGGACAACTTGGTTGTGAATGTTTTAACTTTTAAAATTAACAATTGGCCATCTGTGGTTTTAACCAGGTGCTAAGTGTTGCAGTGTAAACACCACAAGTAATTCTAAGAAAGGCTGCTGAAATCCTCAGCCATTATGGAGAACGGGGAAATTTGTGCAGTACTTGAGACTGAGTGTGTGATGTTTGCATTTCTGCCACAGTCCAGTGCTTATCTCTGTTCAACATGTGGGCTGAATTCCCTCCTAGAGGAGATGGCAAAGGATTTGAAGGCTGCCTCTCAACACTCTAGGTTTTTAGGGGGATGAAGGATTCCTAAAAGAAACACAAGTGGGGCAGAGGGAAGGTTCCCTAAGGTAGGAGATGGAAGATTGTACCTTTGTGAGAGTGAGAATGGAAGAGTGAGAGAACAGAGATGAAAGGGAAGAAAAGGGGCACTTGTACCATTAGAGCTTCAGAACATATTGGAGCCTCCTTCTGAAGTGGAGAGAGATGGATGCCCTGAGAAGGAAGGCCTCCCCAGAATGATGTGACCGAGCCACAGAAAGCAGCAGAGGGAGAAGAGGAGGAGCGATTGGGGAGTCCCCGTTCAGGGTTGAAGCAACTCTTTGTCAGCCTCTGTCAAAAAGTCTTCCTCTGCTTGCAGGCCGAAAACTCTACCTGCATCACCTACCCTTGTGCACTCACTTCACTTTAACTTGGTCCTGTTCTAGCGTTACTGCTCCTTTCTTCCTCAGCCTCCGTATTAGCCTGCCACCAGGCAGCCACTTGTTTCGGGGCACCTTCTCACCTTCTTAAAAGCTTTACCAGAGGTAACCTCAGGTGCTTGGGGCACTCCACCTGCCCTTTCTTCATCAGCTTCAGTATGACCTGGGCTACTTCTCTTCCTTGGGCTTTCCAAATGCAGCTTTTTGTTGTTTTTTAATTTTTTTCTCAATTACATGTAAACAAAAATTTTTAACATTTGTTTCTTGTTTTTTATTTTGAGTTCCAAATTCTCTCCCTCCTGCCCTCCCTCCCTCCCATCTCCTTGGGAAGGCATGCAATTCGATATAGATTATACATGTGCACCCACATTAGCCATGTTGCAAAAGAAAACACAAACCAAAAGAATAAAAAAGTAAGCTTCAATCTGCATTTAGACTTCATCATTTCTCTGGAGGTGGATAACATTTTTCATCATAAGTTGACTTTGGGCATACTGTTTTCTCTTTTCTTTTTTCTTTCTCATGGTTTTTCCCTTTTGTTCTAATTCTTCTTTCACAACATGACTAATATGGAAATATGTTTAATATGATTGTATATATATATAGCCTATATCAGATTGCTTGCCAACTTGGGGAGGGAGAAAAAATTTCGAACTCAGAATCTTATAAAAGTGAATATTGAAAACTATCTTTACATATAATTGGAAAAAATAAAACACTATTAAGTAGGGGGGAAATAAAATTAAATAGTCCAAAATTTAAAAAAAATAAGTCCTTCAGAATTATCTATTGCTGAGAATAGCTAGGTCATTCACAGTTGATCATCTTACAGTGTTGCTATTACTGTTTACATTGTTCTCCTGGTTCTGCTTACTTCACTTTTCATCACTTCATGTAAGTCTTCCCAGGTTTTTCTGAAAGCATCCGGCTCATCATTTCTTGGAGCACAATAGTATTCCATCACAATCATATACCACAACTTGTTTAGCCATTTTCCAATTGATGGGCATCCCTTCAAGTTCCAGTTCTTTGCTACCACAAAAAGAACTGCTATAAATATTTTTGTATATATAGGTCCTTTTCCTTTTTCTTTGATCTCTTTGGGATACAGACCTACTAATGGTATGGCTGGGTCAAAGAGCATGCACAGTTTAATAACTCTTTAGGCATAGTACCAAATTGTTCTCCAGAACTGTGGGACCATTTTACAACTCCACCAGCAGTGTATTAGTGTCCCAATTTTCCTATATCCCCTCCTGCATTTGTTTTCCTTTTCTGTCATATTAGCTAATCTGATAGGCATGAGCTGGTACCTCAGAGTTGTTTTAATTTGCTTTTCTTTAGTCAATAGTGATTTAGAGCATTTTTATATGACTATAGATAGCTTTGATTTCTTCTGAAAACTACCTGTTTATATCTTTTGACCATTTATCCATTGGGGAAGGCCTCATATTTTTATAAATTTAACTCGGTTCTCTATGTATTTGAGAAATGAGGCATATATCTGGGAAGCTTATTGTAAACATTATGTTCCCTGTTCCCTGCTTTCCTTCTAATCTTGGCTGCATTGGTTTTGTTTGTGCAAAAAAAAGGATGTAATCAAAATTATCCATTTTACATCCCATGTAAGGTTCTTGGAATATGAATCTCTCCAGGCAAAAAAACTTACCATTTTTGTATTGAATGTTAATAGTTACCATATGCACAGTACATCCCTACCCTACCCAACCCAAAGAAACACTCTAGTTTTGCAAACAACCCCACCTTCAGGAATATTCAGGACTTCAGGAAAATTCTTTTCAATGTTACTATCAGTGAAACAACTTCTCAAGAAGGGCTCTTATCTTGGGGTCCAGAGCTTGTTTTTAAAAAACATTTTGATAAATGTATTTCTGTATAGTTGGTTTCCTTTGCAATTGTATGTTTTTTACTTTATGCATTTTTAAAGTATTATTGAATAGGGATCCATTATTATCCATAATAATTATTCATTATTTTGAGGCTTCACTACACACAAAAAAAAGGTTAAGACCCACTTGCCCCAAGGTTCCCTGTAAGTTCCCACTATTCAGAATCTAGATCAGTCGCTGGCCAGAACTACAGCCTTCAGATATAATCAGTCCAGATGTCAAGCCCTTCGGGGGGGGGGCTGTCCCCAGAAGATCCCCAAGTCAGGGCACTGCCACACCTGTGGGGGAAGGCCCTAGCAGCACTACCTGAGGGGGCAGCCTGCTGTTCACACTTGAGCAAACCTTTCCCTTTGTTCTCTGAGCATTCAGGCTTCTTACTGCTTGAGGACAGATAAGTCCTCTGCAGGGCAACATCTGGTCCAGGTACCCTCTTCCCAACTCTGATGTCACCAGGAGCTTTTGAACGTCAAGTGTTTGTGCCAACTCACAAGATACTAAGTGGGTGGGGCTTCCCCCTTTGCACCCGGCGGCAACCGCCTCACGTTTTCCCCACCTCCCTCAATGCCCCTTTCCCTGGTTTTACGGTGGCCTTATTGCTACACCCGAGCAGCGGGGGTCCAGACATGGGAGGCGAGCCCTGCTGGGTGGCAGCAATGAATGCAGCGTGCAGCCAGCATCCACTCGATAGCCCTGAGCAGGATCCCGCCGCTAGCATTGGGCAGCCTGGGGAATCAGGATCGGGAGAGGAGGAAGGGACGGCCCAAGAGCTGGAGCGGAAGGACCCCCGGAGAGGAGGGCAGCAGAAAGTAACAAACCAAAACGTTTCCCTCCGAGGTTACATTGTTTCCCTGCGGTCTTGGGCCGGATATGCAGGGTCTCCCCCGTTAGAATGGAAGGGCCCAGGAGGCAGACTGTCTCACTTGGGTTTGGTAACACCTAGTAGGTCCTCAGTAATTGACAGAGATGTCCTGGCCTCGCTACTTCCCGTCTCCCAGCGGGAAAGACTTTGAGGAGGTCCAGAGGCAGAGACAGGGAAAAAGCCACGCCCGGCAAGATCTGGGCCAGAGGGGAAAGGATGCCCTCCCGGGCCAAGGTCACAAAGAGAGTCAGGCCAGGTGCGAGCCGCCAGCTCGGCCCCCCTACGGCCCATATGTTCTAATGGACCTGCCACCCTACGCAGCCCAGGATTCTAGAGCACTTCACGAATTCGTATTTCCTAATTCCGCGCCTTTGCGGCTCTCCAGCCCCCGCAGTCTTGGCCGCGAGGCCACGCCCCCACCCTCCGAGTCCTCCTCTCCTGTTGACAGTCGGCTTGGCTTCCAGGGTCGTTCCTCTTAGCAACAGCCGTACGAGGCCTGCTTTCCTATTGGTAAACGGATTTACATTTTTTATTGGTCCGCGTGCCTCTGATCTGACCAATCAAATGTAGCCACGGCGACCCATCTCACTCCACAGACCTAAGGGGGGGGGTTCGAGATGCAGATATTTTCCCAGCGGGAAGATGCTGCTCCGTTTCCCAAGGGGGACGCGCTTTCCACAGCTTTTTATTGCGTTCTAGGAGGTCTTGTCCGCCTCATTCTCTCTTCTCCCTTCCCTCCCTTGGGGTCTCCCATCTCAGTTTTCTTGGCTGTCCACCCCTGAGAATGGTTCAGCTCTCGGATTGCGCGCCGGGAGAGGGGCCTCCCCCCCTCCCGGCAACGAAGGGTAAAAGCCTCATCTTGGTCGTCCGGGAGATACCATGTGTGGCCCAGGAGGCGGGGGACACGCGACTCCCCGAGAGCCTGCGTCCCCTCGAGGACGTGCTCCATCGCTCCCCTTCCCCACGCCCCGCGGCAGTCTAAGTGCAGATTAAGCTCAGATCAGGAAAGCTTCCCTGGTGACCGCGGGGGGCAAGGGGCGGTGCACTTGGTACGACCCACCCCGCCGCCCCGGCGGCCGGAAGTGAGGTGTCTGCGGCTCGCACTTCCGGCCCGGAGGGGGTGGGGAGTGTTGTTAAGTGGTGGAGCCGCCACCGCCCCCGTCACGGTCCCCGTCAGCGCTTCCCCGCCGCTGCCCGTGTTATCTCCGCCGCCGCCGCCGCCGCCGCCGCCGCCGCCGCCGCCGCCGCCGCCGCGGGACCAGCGGGCTCGGGAGCCCCGAGCTCCCGGTGAGTGAGGGCGGGTTGGGGCGGGGGGGAGGAGCGGCGGGGGCCCCGGGGGGGTGGGGCGGCCGGGCGGCCTCGCGTGCCGCAGCCCCGGAGCTCGAGGGCCCGCCGCCCCGGGGTGCCGCGGACACGTGGGGGGCGGAGGCCGTTCACACGCGCCCCGTCGCCCCGCAGGTCTCCCGGCCGGGGCCATGTTCCGCACGGCCGTGATGATGGCCGCCAGCCTGGCGCTGACCGGGGCCGTGGTGGCCCACGCCTACTACCTCAAGCACCAGTTCTACCCCACCGTGGTCTACCTGACCAAGTCCAGCCCCAGCATGGCCGTGAGTGCGGGCCCGGGGCGGGCGGGGGGCGGGGAGGGCGCGGAGGGCGCCGCCCCCTCCCCCCGGGCACCCCTCACCCCGCCCCGCGCCTCCGCCCACCCCCAGGTCCTGTACATCCAGGCCTTCGTGCTCGTCTTCCTGCTGGGCAAGGTGATGGGCAAGGTGTTCTTTGGCCAGCTGAGAGCTGCCGAGATGGAGGTGAGACGGGGTGCCGGAGGGACCGGGTGTCGGGGGACTAGGTGTCGGGGTGCTGGAGGGACCAGGTGTGGGGGTGCTGGAGGGACCTGGTGTCGGTACTGGGGGACCTGG